CAGTGGTGCTGGAGGAAGGTGTGTCGGAGAAGTTGGTCCAGGACGTGAAGGAGTTCATCGACAACCCCAAGTGGTACAGCGAGAGAGGCAAGGCTGTGGCGTGGTGTCCTCTGTATTGTGCCCAGCGTGGCTGCTTCCGCCCCTGCAGCCACGGCCGTGGGGCACCACCTCGGGTACATCCTGCAGACAAGCGAACCCCTGAGGCCAGGCCTGGCTCTGCAGAGGGAGAAACTCCCCTGGGTTCAATCCAGTCTTGGAAACCATGATAAGCCATAGAGTTCACTGCTCCTGCAATGCTGCTGTGGGGTGGGGGGTGCCCGTGGTCCTCTCTGGAGATGGCTGCTGAGAGATTTTGTCCTGCTCCTTGCCTTCCCTGGTGTATCCCTTATGTGTGCTCAGCACAGCCCCACGGCTCAGGGAGAGAGCTCAGGGAACTCCAGCTGGTTCCTAAAAGGACACTGTCTTCCCAGGGATCCCCTACCGAAGAGGCTACCTGCTGTATGGACCTCCCGGCTGTGGGAAAAGCAGCTTCATGTGAGTATTGCCAGCTGGCATTGCTGGCACCGTTACAGGTCAGGGTGATGAGCATGGCACCAGTGGGCTGAGCACGGGCTCCCACCCGCCCCCCGTATCTGCCTCTCGCTGGGGAGGATGCCTCTGCCCTTTCCCCTGCTGCTGGACAGGGAGATCCTGTTCTCCCTCTGCTCCAGGCTTTCTCGATGTGGTTCACCTCTGTGGTTTGTGTCCTTCCCAGCACAGCCCTGGCCGGGGAGCTGCAGTACAGTATCTGCCTGCTGAGCCTCAGCGACCGCAGCCTCTCCGATGACCGGCTCAATCACCTCCTGAGCGTGGCACCGCAGCAGAGCATTATCCTGCTGGAGGACGTGGATGCAGCCTTCGTTAGCCGGGACCTCGCTGCCGAGAGTGAGCGGTGACCCCGTTCCTGGGCCAGCAGCGGGAGGGGGTTTGCTGGCTCCACTGGGGAAAGGTTTGAACTCTGGCCTGCTCTGCCACACCAGCAGAGACCAGGAGTGGGCAGCTCTCAGGCCTCAGGCCCCAGGCTGGACCTCACCCAGTCTTGTCTAGGTTGTATAAAGGGAAATTTGGGTCCTTCATCCGCAGGCAAAGACCTTTCTCCTGCCTGGCTATTTTCAGCACGAGGTGGCTTTCCCCCTCTTTAGTTTCCCAGGGGTGCAGGTGGGCAGGGGATGTGAATGTGCTGCTAGCTAGGGAGAGGCCAGAGGGTCAGCCTCGGGGCAGGGAGAGAGTGGGGAGCTTGGCTTAAGCCTGGGGTGGTGGGGGTTGGCCTGGAGTGGGGTTAGTGGCCAGTGGGTACGATCTCAGACACCTCTGTCCCCAGACCCGGCTGCGTACCAAGGCATGGGGCGCCTGACCTTCAGCGGCCTCCTCAACGCGCTGGATGGTGTGGCCTCCACGGAAGCCAGGATTGTCTTCATGACCACCAACTACGTGGACAGGTGGGAGCCGCGCTCTGGGAGGGAACAGGGAGGGTAGCACGGGAAAACCTTCCTCCCTTGATGGGCTTTATGAAGGGCTGTTTGCATCCTCCAGCATGAAGACTCGGGGGTTTAGGTTTCCCGAATCCATTCTTGGGATGCAAATCCAGAATCCCTTTTGCTGGAGCCTCAGATGCTTCCTTACTGTTCACACTGTGGTTGTGCCCTTCAGGATTCC